ACCCCCTGATGTTTGAGGAACGCCGCTGCATACACAAAAATAATGCTTCCAACTGGTCCATGATCCTCCTTAGCCACTCGGGCATTGGGCTTTTGGCTGTCAAGTACGAAAGTCCTCCTATTCTTCATGTCAGCCACGTACACCCGGTAGTGATCATTTCGATACATTGGAAAAAATATCTGTAACACAAAGCAGTTTGTGAGTTTATCATTGACTAATATCCTAATAACCCAAATTAATATCTCAGCTTCCAAGATAATATCCTATAAACCCATACAAATATCTATGAAAAATAAAAAAATTCAAACTAGCAGAGTCGCTTACGTAATCACATCTTTCCAAGTTTTCCCGTTTCAACATTGGATTGTATTTGTGCAGATGAATCCATGCATCTAGTCTCGCCTTGTCCATGGGTTGGTTCGAATAAGCAGTATTGACGGCATATTGCTATTTAGAAGAGACAACAATATGAAATTAGATATTTTAAATATGAATAGTATATAAGCAGTGAAGATAATACTTACTACATAACTCCATGGGAAGACAATTCTTTGCACCACCTCCTTGCCTGCTTCTTTGTAATTTATCAAATTCCCGTATACTACAAGTATTTGGGTATGCAACCAACTTCTACCCTTCAATGAATGTATCTGCTCACGGGAAAGGGTACCGGTTGGAGTATCCACTACAAATTTCTCACTGTAAAACAAAAATGAAAACCAGTTTAGAAATTTGGGTTGGGCAAATTGAAATTGGTGATTAAATAACTCCTCAATTATCAACTTACTTGGCTGGAGCAGGAGTACTGAATATGAAGTCAACCACTTGCATAGCTGTAACGTCGAGTTTCGTCGACATAGTCTTTGGCAGAACGTACATTGATTCGCCGAAGGGGTGGTATTTTGACCTATCAAACTCTGGAGTTTTTAGGGTTGCTTTCCAAGCTTCCGGTGTGATAGAGTACAAATACTCTGCCTCCTCCGCACTCTAAATGCACTCAGAGATGATAATATCATCGTCGCTATCCTCCTGGGCAGCAGTAGTTGACTCGACAGGAAACTGCAAAACATGGCCAGTATCTACTCATATAGAAACAAATATCCAGCAAGCCCAAGCTAGTATCCATAACAAAAGAAACCAATATCATAAACGCCCAGGATAGTATCCACTCAATACGAAAACAATATCCTGGCAGCCCATGATATTATCCATACAAAAAGAAACTAATATCCAGCAATCCCATACTAATGTCTATTGGTAAGAGAGATATTACCGTAGTCGGAGATGTCTTGATACTATCTTCAGCGGTAGCAGTGGCTTGGAAACCAATCTGCATCACATTCGCGAATGTCGTATCCGGGTCTCTATCCTCCATCAGCTCACATGCTGCTGCTATAAGCTCATCCTCTGATGGTCCTGCTAATCCTTGAGTTAGAACCTCAGTCGGGACCATTGTGATACTCTCCTGGGCAGCAGTAGTTGACTCGACAGGTATCTGCAAAAGATTGCCAGTATCTACTCATCAAGAAACAAATATCCAAAAAACCCATACTAGAGGCTAATGGTAAGAGAAATATTACCGTAGTCGGAGATGTACCCATACTCTGCTCGATTGGCTCCCCCATCTCCTTAAGTGGATTAACAGTCGACTGCACGCCTGGCTCCCCCGACTGAACAACAGAGACCTCCACCTCAGACTCGAAACAAACAGAATTTGGCTCCCGAACCAGCTCAGTCCTAACAACTGACTCTGACTCCACCTCCATCTCAGTAGCGACAACTGACTCTGACTCCACCTCCATCTCAGTAGTGGACTTAACAACAGGCATGTCGACCTCAGGCTCGACAACTCCATCTGGCTCCCGAACCAGCTCAGTAGCGACAACTGACTCTACCTCCACCTCCATCTCAGTAACGGCAACTGACTCTGGCTCCACCTCCATCTCAGTAGTGGACTTATCAACAGGCATGTCGACCTCAGGCTCGACAATAGACAAGACTGTCTTCTCAGGTATTCTCCGAGAGTCGAAGCGGCTGCACATGTTCTTGCCTTTCCCGTCTCCATCCTTTTTCATCCTCGCTTTGGTCACAGAGACCAAAGTCGAAGAAGATTTCGCCACTTTGCCCCTTTTCCTTCTTTGTTTTGGTCGCTGGAAAAATACGTACAAGCACACTAAATTATTATCCAAACTGCCAGAGTAATATCCAATCACGAGGGAGCTGTTATCCAGACCGCACAGAACAATATCCAAACATAATTTGAATCAATTACCCTGACAACACAGAGTAATATCCAAACATACAGCACATGTTCGATGCAATCATGAAAAGAAATAATATCCAGAACCAACAATTTGTTCAAGCCATTCCAACATGGCAAAGATAAAATCCCAACAATAAACAGAAATCTGAATGTTCAAGCCATTCCAACATGGCAAAGATAAAATCCCAACAAGAAACAGAAATCTTAATGTTCAAGCCATTCCAACATGGCAAAGATCAAATCCCAACAAGCACATTACATCCAATTAAAGAGAGAAAATTTGCCAAGATCATTTGGTTCCTTGATGGCGCAAAATGACAACTCTCCAAACACTATCCCGCCTTGACTCCCATACATCCATCATTTTTTCAGTCATGGACTCCAATGCCTTAAGCTACACATATATTGAAAACAAATTTAGTTCACTACAAACACCCATGGCCACTAACCCATTATTTTGAGTTGCAGAGAGAATATATACATACCTCATCATCATCAAGGGTTTCCAAATCAACATCCTTCCACCATTCAGTAGTAGAAGCCGAGCTGCTTGATCCAAATTCCAAATCCCTCCTGACACGTTCAGGACGGAAGCGGGATTTGACTTCTTCTCTTGAGAACAACATCGGACCAAGAAGATACTTCTCAGCTTCCTTGGGGATATTACAGCACACCTTGTCCACCCTAGGCTCGAACCAATAGCTGCAGGTAGGGATGGTTTTTGTGGCAAACCCTCTCACATTAAGGAAGTCCAGCAAATGGATCTATAAAAAAAAGTTCAAAACAAATATCAGAAATGAAACAACTATTATCCCATGCACAGTTATTAATATCACTAGCAAACAAAACAGATATCACGAATGAAAAGAACTAATACCCTAAGCAGCGATACTAATATTAAAGGCAAAGAAATCAAATATCAGAAATAAAAAAACTAATATCCTAAGCAGCGATACTAACATCAAAGGCACAAAAACTAATATCCTAAGCAAATCAAATAAACAATATCAACAATGTTAAAGGAGAAGTTACCATTAAGAAGTGGATATCTCCGAGAGGCCATTGCTGTTTACCAAGATGCCTTAGTTCAGCTTCGTTCTCCTTAGCACGAGACAACTCAAACTTCAGATTGCGGGCAACAAAACCACTCCAATTAAAAGTGGCAATGTCTTCCACCCTTCCAACAAGATACTCGGCATAATCGAGATCACAAAGTCGTGACATCTTTGGGACAAGCATCGAACCTAGAGCCAGCAACAAAAACTGCTTCACTGCGGCTACAACAGGTGGTCTCCTTTTCGGTGCGTCATCGGGACCACCACAGGCTGCCTCTCTAAGATCCAAGACTTCGACATTTCGACTTCGATTACACTCGATATTGAGCTCCTCCAAGAACATATCAAGCATCTAGTCGTTCGACCTAACGACATCAATCTCAGCTCCACCAATAGGAAGGCCGTAAACACGGGCAACATCCTCAGCTTCGATTGTCAGCACCTTCTTGTTCTCCCCTTCACCGAAAATGAATGAACTGGTGACCAAGTCGTACTGTGCCATCAAGGTATCGAACAACTTCTTTGGAAAATTTGCCAATCGAAGCTCCAATAACCCTCCAAATCCAGCCTTCTCCAACTCTTTCGTACATGCTTCATAGTACCTTGGCTCTTCCTTCCAGTAATTAATAACATCTAGGAGAGATTTGGTATGGCACCGAAATCTGTACCACGGCTTGCCTTGTCCTAGAATATTATTTCTTGGTGCAGCAACTTCAGCATCTTCTTCCTCATCCTCCTCTCGCAATGGCGGTGGATTCCCTCGCGCTCTCTTCGCGGTCCTTTTATTTCTTGCCATTGATAAATCCATGCACAAACAAATATGCAGATATATCAAACAAATATCTAGATTGGTCAAACAAATATCCAGATAAATCAAACAAATATCAAGATATCTCAAGCAAATATTCAGATAAATCAAACAACTATCCAGGCAAGTTACAACTGATATCATGCTTGCCAAAACCAATATCCAGATATATCAAAGGAATATCCAGATATGTCAAACAAATATTCAGATAAATCAAACAAACATCCCGAAATGTCAAACAAATATCCACATAAATCAAACAACTATCCAGGCAAGTTACAACTGATATCATGCTTGCCAAAACCAATATCCAAATATATCAAAGAAACAATACAAGCAAAATAAATAATATAATGTCTGTAATCTGTACCTCAGATTATTCCGACCTCGAGCTGCTCCTTGTGCAGTTGTTTCTGCTTCGACTTCAGCATCTTGTTGTGCAGTTGTTTCTGCTTCGACCTCAGTATCTTCTTGGGCAGTTGTTTCTGCTTCGACTTCAGCATCATCTTTTTCCTCATCTTCCTCTCGCTGTCGCGGTGGTGGTGGTGGATGGGGTGAAGTCATTGGAGCTCTCTTCCCGCCCGTTTTAGTCTTTGCCATTGATAAATCACCTGCAAAGACAAATACCCAGATCCTATAAAACAACTATCCAGGAATGTAACAACTCATATCATGCTCGAACAAAACTAACATCGACACAAACATGACTAATATCGACACAAACAGATCTAATATCGACACAAACAGAAAGCCATTCCACAAAACCCAGAAATAAAATCAACAAAAGAACGAATCATGCAACCCTAACTCATATCTGTCCAAACGAAACCTAATATCCACGAAACATTCCACAAAACCTGAGTCACCTGCAAACCGTCGCCGCCGAGATCGCTGCTTCGTCGTCGCCGACAAGATCGATGCCGCCGAGATGCCGCCGCCGAGTTTGCTGCAGAGTCGTCGCCGCCGAGTTTGCTGCAGAGTCGTCGCCGCCGAGATCTCCTCCTTCGTGCAAGGTCGCCGCCGTCGAGACTCCGACTTCGCTGCTTCGCCGCCGCCGCCGAGATCTCCGCCTTCGCTGCAAGACGTCGCCGCCGATATCTCCGATTCGCAGCAAGGTCGCGCCGCCGAGATCTCCTCCTTCGCTGCAAGGTCGCCGCCGCCGCCTAGATCGTCGCCGCCGCCGCCTAGATCGTCGCCGCCGCCTAGATCGTCGCCGCCGCCGCCTAGATCGTCGCCGCCGCCGCCTAGATCGTCGCCGCCGCCAGACTTTGCTGCCGCCGAGTTCCAATCACCGCGCGTCGCGACGTCTGCGTTCGGGAGAGGAAGAAAGGCAGAGGAAAGGGAGAGAGAAACGGGTGGAGAGAGAGGGAGGAAACTGATTTGGGGAAAGTGATTTGGGTTAGGGTTTAGGATTTTTTTGTTTTTTGTTTTTGAATTAGTGGGCCCGGCGGGCCCCGCCAGCCGCAGTGGGCTTGGCCCAGCCGATGGAATCGGCTCTCATCTTTCACACGGGCCAGCGCGTTTTCTCCTCCACCGATGGATGGCGGCTTGGCGACGTGGAGGCCCATCCAGCCATGTCAATATCTCCTAACAAAATACCCTGTTAGGAGCATAACTAGATTGCAGTCGTACACTTGAGATTTACTTATCATCCTCGCCACTCAGAACTTTAAGCTCTTGGCTAAGTTGATAGACTCCGATGCATGCATCAAATTATCCTTAATGGTTGTATCGGTAGATTTCTTGAATCCAAATAAATGCTTCTCCTTCCCCACTGATTCCTCCTCCTTCCTCCCTCCTTCCGCCGTTCTCCAAACCCCCACCAATTCCTCCGCATCTGAAACCCTCTCACTTCCCCGCATCTGAAACCCTCCGCTCCACTTCTTACTTCGCCGGCAAATCGATGGTGGCAGCGGGGATGTGTTCTCCATTCCCAGAGCGATGTTCAAGTGAGAAGAAGCTGGCCAAAGAAGTAGGGTCAGATAAAGGGGGAACAAGTGATTGAAATCTGCAACCTCCATCTTCTCACTCGACCTAGGGTTAGAAAGAGGAATTTCAGTTCTTCTTTTCTCCTCGACCCACTTCCTTAAGCCAACGACAGATCAGACTGCCCATTCACAACTCCAAATCAGCTCGTCCTTCTCGTCTTCTGCTCGGCGGCCTCCTAGCTATCGCCATCCACCATCCGCCCACAATAGAGATGTGAGAACTCCTAGTGCGAACAATTAATCAATCAATCCGCTCATTCATCTCATCCTCTGCGTGCTTGTGTGGGGCTAGCGAGTCTTCACTTTAACAAATCTCAAGGAAAGAAAGACCCGACAGGTGAAACAGTAAAGAGAAGTGAAGCAATTCATCAGCTAGCTCTTCCTAGTCCCCTCTATTAAGGTAAAAGAGTGTGTAATGCCATCATGTCTCTTTCTATATCTCCCATGTTTTCCGCTTCCTTATTGTAGGCACTCTGTTCCTTTTCCCTTGATGAATGTTTCTATAGGCAAGCATCAACAAGGTGGTTGTTATAGTATAATGATTGATTATGAAGATTGGATTAGTCTAATGGGTTGTGTCTGTGGTTTTGATCTAGGTGATAAACGATGGTGCTTGGAGACTAAACATATATGTACTCATATGGTCTTTTTTATTATATACATAGTACTCCCTCAAACTCCCTGCATTTCTTCAATTTACTGTCACCTTTGATCATCACCCACACCCATGTATGATGAGAAATTAAATGGATTAGAAGGGCAGCAGGTTGGAAGTTAACTTGGCATGCTATGCCTAGAATGTTGCTGTGATTGGTGGTTGGGTAAAAATGGAAGTTAACTTGGCATCCTAACAACTCCATTTTTGTCACTAAAAAGTATGTTTTAAGAACTGGAGTCGGGTGGTTGTAGTGTTGTGTAATGCAGGTGAACATAAAGCCATTTAAGATCTAATGAAACCTTCCCCTAATACCTCATCGATTTTTATGGCTTATTTGTCATTTGGATTCATGTAATGTACTCGAGTTTATGCAAAGATTCATCCTTTAAAGTCAAAGGGTGATGTATCGATTTTTATGGCTTATTTGTCATTTGGATTCATGTAATGTACTCGAGTTTATGCAAAGATTCATCCTTTAAAGTCAAAGGGTGATGGGGGAAAGTCTATGGATTGAATATGATGTGTGAATCTCCTCAAGTGTGTTTGAAAAGGCAAGACAAGAAGTTACAGTCTATTAATAGACAGTTATGTGAGAAATCTATCAATACAAAGGTAACGGTTGCATTAGTATGTTTTAGATGAGTTAACATAAGCTTATTATAACTATGCTTTGCATCTGCAGGTGGGTGCCTTTTCCGTTATGAAATAACTGGTGGTTGTTTTGCCAGACTTTCTAGCAGAGCACATAGTATCACTGATTCCTTAAATTCAAAAGGCACTGAATGTAAGCATGTTATATTATATCATATTTGTTACTATAACTCAGTGGGTTCACTTGCCTTTACGAATGCTATTTTAATTTTGTACAAGACAAATCTTCAACCTCAAATTTGAAGATTGAAGCTCTTGTTCTTACAAGACTAGTGTGGGCTGCACCATCTGTCTAACATCCATATATCAAGGTAATTAGACAATATCATCCCAGAAATGGCATACATTATTGGTATTTGCTGTCATATTGCAGTCCGAAATTTCAGGGCAACTCATGGAGGTGCCATTAAAGATAGCTTGATTACTATTAAAGATATCAACATTTAACTAAGATCTTGATCAGTGTTACATCTTAGCTGTTGTAGTTTGGTCATTAGATTAGGTAAGTTTGTCATTGCTGCCAATGGTGTACACACCTAGTAGCTAGTCTTCGCCTTCTTGGGGTGCTCGACAGTTGATGGTTTTGTGATGGCAGGAGGCAGCATTTGCAGCATATGTCATGGAAAAATTGACCAAGGATGGTGAACCCACAGATTTGGTCGACCTCTTAGGGTATCAAGTGGCAAAACCATAATTTGATGGCCTATCAAGGCAAGTATGTTGTCAATTTGTAGAACTTGCAATGTTGGGTATTCTGAGTTTTTGGTTGCTGTTGACTTTCTGCAATCTCTGTATAACTTTTAGTATGCAGTCTCTATATCACTAACTACTTTGATTCTTCTCCTTCTGTTGTGCCCATATAGTTGTAAGTTACAGATAACCAACCATATGAGTTTCTAATTTAGCTCCAAGAAATTGTAGGACAGAGGTTGTATATGTCATTGTTGGAGAGAAGAGACGGGGGAATGCGAAGATGGTGGGAGTGATGGCAATTCTATACGGAGTGTCTTGTGATTTTTTTTCTACATTTATGTATAAATGTGTTATCTAGATCAGTTAGCCCGGGACACCAAAATAATTACATACGTAACTAGTATTAGTTTAGTTGGAGTTTCAGGCTACAAGAATATTAGTCTTTCAACTATATGTTATTTAATATATTTATGAATAAATGGTAATTTATATTGTCAATAATGTTAGAATTTCATTTCATCTTTTCAATTGTATGTTAATAATATATTATTATAGATTTGTGAATCGTAGTTTATAATTAGCTATGAAAAATATGGTGACTGGTATTTAATCATGGGAGAACCAACCAAATACTGTTACTAGTTATAGACATTTAGTCATGGGAAATGATTTTGTCACGGTTAATACCATATTAAAAGAAACATTTCCCGTCTTTAAATGTATTTTTTCTTGGATATGTACTACAAAATTTGACATCAGACACGGTTACGCCTGTGATTAATAGGTACAACTTGTCATGGGAAATAATACTGTGAATAGTTGATACTATAAGTAGTCACGGTATACAATTAGTCACAGAGCTTTATATTACGGTAAATTTCCCGTGACTAAAATAATTATTCACGGAAAACATGCTTTTAAACACTGGATTTCCTGTGATTAAAGGACGTTTTTCTTGTAGTGAAACATAGGCCAAAATAATGGGGTGTTTGAAGGCTTACAAGACCCCTTGCCTATCCTAGTTGTAATAGTGACTTAGACTCAAATGAGAATAATTTAGATGAAAAGTTTTAGAAGGAGGACAATATAAAGTCGTACTTGTACACATTTGGTCGACAACAATCAGTAATATTAAGCTTTCTTGTAGTTTGGTGGGGTTTACGAGTTGAGTAATTGTTGTTGGGTCTCTTATCATTGTATGCTTCTTTAATAATGTTTGACGGTAATATATTTTTGTGTACTTGTGTTGGATTGAGTTGATTATGTATTGATATATATATCTATGGTGAATAATTTTTTATTTAATGATAGCAATTTAAGAAAAGAACACATGCGTATGTATGAAAAATTATAGAAAATTTCACAATTGAAAAAATGAGGTTGTTTGGTGGTTAAGTTATTGATAAGTAATTTTGGTATAATCATGGCGAATCACTTGGTTAACGGTTATTCGGTTAACCGACAAAATAACCGAGAACCGACTGTACGATTAACCAAGAACCGACTAAACGGTTCCGGTTATAACAGAACCGAACCGATTAGCAGCCCTACGTATTTTCTACATAACTTATACGTACCGCATTTTATTAATTATGCTCCAAATCCTAAACTCGATCTAATTTTAATTCGCATTATCGAAAAAAGATCTTTGTATACGGCCATGGCAAACGACTTACATAATTTCGTTACCTCCATATTATGAGAAGTCTGGGTAGGACTAAAATTAGACCGCTTGTCCTCCTTTGGTCCAAGTACGCATAGGACTACGGTGACCACACTAACTCTGATTTGTTGATTAAACTACCAGTTTTAATTTAAGAGTGAAATTAGCTCATATATATTCAATGATGATGCCGTTTTTTAATTAGGTTTTCTTTCCCCGTTTCCCCTTTCTTTTGTTTTACAGTACTCACTGGTTGGGCGTACGCTCTCCAATCTCCATGCATGAACCAAATTCTGCAGCACAATTATTGTTCACTGCTTCAATCCACTGCTGAAAAAAAATGCGCAACGAAATTGAACACCTACGTACGGTAGCTATTTAAGAAAAGCGAGGACTCCTTCGGCTTCCACGCAATTACATTAACCAGTGTGCACGAACGTTTCCATGAAATTGAAACCCTACTCGATCGATCTTCCCATGATCAATATAAATACGACTCCTCAATCCAGCCAATTTCTTAACCCAGCACCAAAACTACCTATAACAATATCATCAGAGGGCAAAACAGAGAGAAGAAGATACTAAGTCTGCATATAACTAAGGTTCTGAAAAGATGCAAAGGTGTGGTGGTTCAAGGTCCGCCATGGCTACTCCCAAGGTGGAAACTGTGGTGAAGCTGCAGGAACAAGAGCCCAGACCTGCTTCTGCAGTGACTATCAATAATATGGTTTGAACTTTGAACACACTACATATCTCCAACTCTTCCAGTCAAACCTGAACACTGCTTCCTGTTTTTTTTTTTTTTTTTTGGGTTTATTATGATCACTAGTTCAGCACTCTTTACTCTTCTTAACCTGGTATCAGTGATCTTTCATCGATTTATTTTCATTATTACATGCATGCTTCTTTTATACCATGCATACATCGACCTGAATATTTCTTACAGCTATCTATCTATCTAGTCGACGGCCACTGGAAAAGTGAACCGGTCTCATATCTAAGCCACCGGCTGGCCACCGCAAAATCACTACATATTCAGTAGCTTGCTTCATTTTGCATTGTCACATTCTTTGCTCTCACCAGTCTCATCTGTGCTTTTTCAAATTTTGCCCGGGGTTCAACCTCAACTATATATGCCCTCCACCTAGTGATTCTTATCAGCTGCAAATTCACTGTGATGTATGTTTCATTAATACCATATATATACATGACAACATATGGGACAAATTTTCAAACTCTCAGGGAACAGTTTGAGACAGAAATGTCAGTCGGATTCTTTCTCTGTTCATGAACAAATATGGCAGAAGCCAAAGGGTCCATTGCTGCTGCACTGGAGCTAGCATCGTCTATAGGGTTTTGAGAAAGACATTTATTTTGGGTGTCTCAACCTCATCAAAGTGCTCTCAGATCCCCATGTTGGTCTTAGAGACTAAGCCCAAACCATTAAAATAAACATGTATAAGCCCATATACCGACTAACCGTAGAAATGGTAGAACAAATTAAACGTGTATAAGCCAATAAATCGAGACCCTCATGGCTTCCAATCAAGGTTGTCAAACATGTATCTGGTCGGCCGCTTTAGCTGGGTCTGACCAGAACCGGTCATCTAAACGGTTGGTGTATACTCCGATTGGATGGTTTGGGAAAAAAAGTCAAAATCGGGTTAAACCAATCAAAACTGAGTGGTCTGACCAGTCAAAACCGGGTTTGAAGTTGGGGATTGATAATTTTGTAATAATTTTTTTTATAAGGGTGATATAGGTTTAGTGTTTGTTGTTTTATGTACTATATAAGAGATTTGAATCTGGAACTTCCAGATTCAAAACTAGTGAAGTTACTACTAGATCAAACCGTTGTTCCGTTCGTGTAATATATATTTATTTTGAAGAAATAATTTGGTAATATATAAATATAGATAAGTGAGATTGTTATATAATATGTCAAATATATGAATCATGTATTTGGTATTAGAGGTTTTTCACATATTATGTCAAACCCGATTTGAACTGATTGTACCATATTCGAACATTTAAACTTCAAACTCCTTATCAAACTAGTTTTATGACTTAATTCGGTTTGACAATCTCGACCAACCAGGTTCAAACTCAAGGCGTGATAAATGTTCTTATTTCCACGTTACCACTAGACCAACCCTTGAGGTTTATTAAGACTGTATACAAATGAAAAATCCTTACCTTCTGGGGGAAAACTGAATGAAGGTTGACCAACATTTTTGAAGAAGAAGAAGAAACATGGTGTAATATAACAAGAAGAGACCACATGTTGACAAAGCAAATTCAATACATTCCGAGGAGATTAATTGTCAAATAAACAAGAAATTACAGGGCTTAATTATTCCCTCATCTTCCTTGTTTCTTTTCTTCATTCTGTGATCCATGATCATCATCAAATGAAAGTAGAATAATAGTGTGGGGGTAATTAAATGGTGATGGTGTTTGTAATTAATTAGTAGAAGCTGTTGCCATACCTGCTGCCAAGACTTGAGTATTCGTCCCATGCTGACTGAACCTGCAGGTCCTGAGGAATATTTGATGATGGTGACGATGATGGAGGTCTAGGGTTTTGGTGTGTACGGGAATCATGAACCAATGGATAGTCCATAATAATCGAAGAGAAAGAACAAGAAGAACCATTATTAGGGTTGCTGAGTAGGTTATAGTTATGGCCATTGGCGATCATCATCATCTTTTCCCTGGTTCTTTCCCTTGCCCTCGCTCTCGCCTTGTCTCTAGACTCCCTCGCCACCATGGGATCCTTCATTGCACAACCACCTGTTGATGGTGGGTTACTAATATGTCCCTTGTTTCCTGCCTTGTTACCAATCTTTGTCGATCTCAACTTGTCGATCTCCTCCCCACTTCCGCCGACGGACGACACAGCTTCTTCACTCTCCGAGCTGAAAACTCCTTCGTCGTCACCGGGGAGAGCGATGCTGAGGGCGTCCTTGATGGCGGACTTGGACTTGTGGAACAGCCACTCGATGGTCTTGCTGGCCTTGTCGAACCCCAACATGTCCTGCAAATCGAAGAACCTCCGCGCTATGGGGAGGGAAAGCCTCATCCTCCTGTCCCTCGCTCCTTGCGCCGTGTAGATCTTGCTGTGCCTGTCCGTCTTCCCAACCGCCCTCCGCCTCTGTGGTCTCGCCGCCTTCCTTTCACCACCACCACCACCACCGCTGTTGCTAGTTTCCTTCATGACCTCATTCTTCTTCTCCTTGCTTGGAGCCTCGGCAGCCGGTGGAGGAGGAGGAGGAGGTTGAATTAGCTGGTCGTTCTCTTGTTGATCGTCTTGGTGCTGGTATTGAGCTAAGAAGTGGGATAGGGAGAAATCATCGTAATAAGTTGGAGTTGGGGAATAGTGGAGGAAGTTGTTGTTAGGGGAGTTGATGAAGGGATAGGTGTAGTTATGATGATCAGTTGGATTAGGGTTAGGGTTTAGGAGGGTCTCTGTGGGGAGATTAGGTGTCAACATGCTGTTGGTGAGGTAGAAACTGTGGTGCTCATCATCATCAACAAACAACGAGTCGAAATTGCTGTTGCTGGTTGGACCATACATAGCTAGGGCTAATTTTTAAGGCAAGGCAGCAGCAGCAGCAGCAGCAACGAAGTAATAAAGATTATAGGGCAGCTGGCAGTGAATAGCTAGAACCGCTACATGCATAGAAATGGGAAGATGAAATTGGCACAAAAGTGGGACTAATTTCTGCAGACCCTTTTGAACCATTTAAACCCCCAGTGAGTTGCAGACATATAAAATGATGATGAACCTGAAAAAAGCAAAAAGGAAAAGGTAGGGGGTGCCCTAATTACAAAGGAGGAGGAGGAGGAGCTGTGATCTATCTGTAAAATGATAGAGTTGACGTTATTGGAGGAGGTGTTTCAGCATTTGGAAAGCAACAGAGCGGGAAATCAGTCAGCTAACCCTATTAGTATTAATGAATGAGATGATGAATATCGAATGATGGTGGTGGTGGGGTGACAATTTCACGTGGCTACAGGGAGGAGTGAGAGTAGCAAAGTGATGATACTGATAGCTACCACACTACTACTCATTTCTGCGCTACTTAGCTTCTCTCATATTAGTTTCCTTCCTCCCTCCAGTCGGCCTGCTTATTAGTTTTCTGAGATGGGTTAGTAAAAAGCAAGGAAGAAAGCACTAGCTTAGCAAGTGGGTGGAGGTAGGATGTACGGACTTCATACTAGGGCGTGGAAATGGGTACCAAGTTTCAAACTTTGGCAGCAAAGAAAACCCTATGGAGCTCTAGAGAAGGAGAGACAGAGAGATGCTGGTAGTAGAAGAAAGTAAATAATATAAATGGGCAATCTGTACTATAAGTATGTCAGTGGAGCAGAAGAGATAAGGTAGAGGGGACAGGATCATGTGGTGCAGTCCCTAAAGACCTCTTAGATAAGGGGGGAAAAGAAAATTCAACCAAGGTAGAGAGGAGATGTGGTTAAGGTTGAATGAGTAAAAGGGACCACATATATAATAATGAACAACGATTCGAAACAAGAAATGTCTAGGGTTGGAAGGTGTAAGAATAACTTATTCATGCCGTATTTGATCAACAAGATATATACACTCGTCTCTCCCAAGGGTCCCTTATTTGGAAGTATGTATCTCATCTTGTAGCTAGATTGATAAGTTCGATGGCATAAGAGAGACTCGCAAGGATCCTTCAAGTTGGTTTTGTAAGGGTTGATCAATTTATCAAGTCAATTTATCAAGTTTCAATACTTTGAATGAGCATAAGGCACAATTTTTGGGTCATACCACATGGAGGGTGATCCGAATCAACGATGGCAATTGTTGGATCGTACTTATGCAACTTCAGGCGTGAAAATCACGGTGCCACGATTTCTAGAAGAGTTATGTGCTCATTTTGTCTATTGGAAAGGAGTTTCATGCCATGAAACACTTGCCAAGATCAAACAAGCGGATCATTGAGGGACGATCTCTTGGTCTTCCAGAAATTGGGAAATCATTACCATGAGCGGAATGAAGAGGCATTGTTGGGCTCGTTTATTGGGAGGCTCAAACTTGAGTTTTTTGTTATGCAATTCACATGTTCAACCTACAGACTCTAAGAGTACCAATCTGAATTGTCAGGTGAAAAATGAGGAACTTGCTCAGCATCATCCCACGCCACAAAATCTTCCTCGAACCCTTAATGCATAACCCTCAAGCTATGGCAGCGTGCAACCATATTTTATGTCTCTCATGAAGAAGTGGCACATCAAAGGGCGAATGGGTTCCGATTCCATTGTAGTGAGCATTATACAATTGGCCATTGATGTTCAAATGTGAATGGGCTATCCGTGATTGGGGCATGTGAAGGTGAGACCAATTCAACCACGAGGATTGCCAACCTTAAGAAAATTAGGTAGCACCCCTAAAGGGGATTGTCACATATTTGGGTCGATTTGATTAATCGAGAGTTTGGATTTAAATATATTTATTTAGTTAGTTTGCAAGTAGTAACCATTGTTGATAGAAGAAGCTATTGAGAGTACATTGAGTGATTGATTAAGAGTGAAACTAGTGTTGATTTGCAGGGTCTACGTCAAAGAAATGCAAAGGTATCTAGCGAGGAAATTACTTCTGGGGTTAGTAAAGACATAGTGTCCATTGAGTTGCTTGTGATTTGAAATCATGAGTGACATTACTAGTTTTGCTCAAGTTGATATGTTTGAATTTGATGGAGAATATGATCACAAGAGTTCGTTGATGGAAAATGTTCTTCGATCCAAGGAGTATTAGAGTGTTGTCTGTGAAGGAATTCAGTAACCAAATGCTGGAGTACAATTATCTGCTATTGAGAGTAAGAGTCTAGATGATCTAAGGCTCAAGGATTTGAAAGTAAAAAATTATTTGTTTGGCTCCATTATCAAAACTATCTTCCATAGCCAACAAAGCCACTACAAAGCAACTCTAGGATGATATGAAAATAAAATTCTAGGGAACTAATTATGTTCAGAAAGCTCAACTACAAGCTTCGAGAATGAACTTTGAAGTTCTTGAGATGAAAGAATGTGAGACATTAAATACATAATTTAGCCAAGTTATGGTGGTATCTAATGATATGAGAAACTATGAGAATATATGACCAATGAGAAAATAGTGGAAAAATCTTTGGAACATTGACAAAGAGATTCAACTATGTAGTGTGCTTCATTGAGGAGTCCAAAGATATTGAGACTATCTATTGATGCTCTTTAGAGCTCTCTGCTTGTTCATGAGCAGAAGTTTCACAAGAAACCTCTGGTTGAAAAGGATAAGGCCTTAAGGATATCTCATAATTTTAGAGGTAGAGGGAGAAGAGGAGAAGGTAGGAGTGGCTATCAAGACAAAGGAAGAGGATGAGAAAGAGAAGGAAAATGATGGAATGGGGAAAATGTTGAATGCTTCAAGTGTCACAAGTGTCATTTTCGATATGAACGAGTGGTACACATAATTTTTGAGGTAGAGGGAGAAGAGGAGAAGGTAGGAGTGGCTATCGAGACAAAGGAAGAGGAAGAGAAGGAAAATGATGGAATGGGGAAAATGTTGAATGCTTTAAGTGTCACAAGTTAGGTCATTTTCAATATCAACGAGTGGTACGCAAATCAACAGGCTCACTACTCCAAATCTCATAGTGACATGACTAATGATGTTCTATTGACGATTCTTCCTAAAAGAAACTCTTATGGAGAAAATGAAACTGGTGGTTTTTATATTCTAGATGCAACAATCACATGAATGGTGATAATAAATGGTTTGAATTTATGGATACAAATCTAAAAGGCAAAGTGAGATTGGGGAATGACCACAGACTGGACGCATGTAGCTGGTAAGGGAACAATAAGACTGCGGCTAGGTCATGTATCTCTTGTGATGCATGATGTTTTATTTGTTCTAGGTTTAAAAACAAATCTTCTAAGCATGGGACAACACCAAGAAAAGGTTGTGGAGTTTGTGGTTAAGAGAAATGTGCGCGAAGTCTTCATGAATAAAGGGGATTCCTGCAGGAGACCAAAACGAACACAAACAAGAGATCGAGTGTCAAAGTGAAGCTACTCTTCTCCTTAAGAGAGCTGGGAAGGATATGCTCATTGTAAGTCTATAAGTAGACGATGCCATGTACATTAATACCAACAATCAGATGATAGAATCATTTAAGCAGTCAATGGAGGCTAAGTTTGAGATGACTGGCCTTAGAAAATTGAGGTATTTCATATCAAAGGGTACAATGAGCCATGGAATTTCGTATCAAATGAAGTATGGGGAGGACAGTCTACTTGGCTACACACAATGACTATGCTTGTGACACTAATTACAAGAAGAGTACCAGTAGATACATCCCTTTCTTTCGGGAGCAGTTGTCTCATGGGCATCCAAGAAGCAGCCAGTGGTCATTTTGTCAACCACTGAACCAGATTGATGCATCCTACTATGCAACATAATGTGTGTGACTCATAAGAATTATAGAGGAGATAGGTTGGGGGGAGAGTGTGAATGGAGGAATAGTGATTATGCGTGACAATAGCTTCACAGTCAAGCAATCTAATAATGTTGTTTTCCATGGCAGAAGCAAGAGTATAGATGTGAGGTTTTATTTTCTCGGACTCGGACAGTTGATTATGTGTACATCTTCAATCACGCAAATTTTTTGTTATGGGTAGGCTCCCATGCCCAAAAGTGACCTTTTATCATGAGGAGATATTCTTGTGATTGTTGATGGTTAAACAACAATCCGAATAGGCTTCACTTAAGGGGATGTTTTGTTCGAAGCAAGAGTCAAACTCGGGTGTTGCTTGAAAGCTGAAAGAGACTTGGTGCCAAGAGGAGTCAAATTTAAATGTTAGTTAAAAATGGTGCAGTTTGGTTTAATTTTAGTTTGTTCATTTCTAGTTTGAAGTTGTGTCAAATAGGTCCTAAGCGAGTGGTTAGCTTAGTGGCCTGAGTTAGAGGATGTTAGTTAGTAGTGGAGCTAGTTTTCAGGGTCATGACTGTTTGGTTTATTGAGAAACAAAGATCGCTGACTCGTGATCTTTATTTATCTTCGTTTTCTTGATTTAATGAAGCTCAATACCAAGATTCATAGAAAGAAAGGCACAGTCTACAAATAAGAGTTTGGTCTGTTAAGCCTGAGGATAGGATATACTAATCATTGTAAGATTGACTTTTTGTTTTATACAATGTTTTACATAAATATGTACTTGTTTTAATGATTAATGAAGAGAAGATTGAAACTCAAATGAGTTTTGTTATTTTCTTCTTTCACATTCAAGTTCATCTTAATTTGTGAGAACCCACCTCTCCGAAAAACCACTACAAGATCAAGGTTGTTAACCCACGGGTCGGCTTGTGGGGTGAGCCGGACTCGGTGATTAAAATGGGGGCCACACACCCATGTGGTCGACCCAAAACAAAGTTCATGGACTGGAGGTCATACAACATGATTTTTGTCTTCGATTTCAGAATCGCGCCTCTTTATTTTTTCCTTTGCCTAACCCTATACTTTTGGAATTTTAAGTTGAACATTTGAATATTGATGTTATATGAGTGTATTTGAATTTTCATTATGTATTGGATCCAACTACAAACTGTTATTTTGGTGTAATGTTATATGATATTGTTCATATGTAGATGAGATTTGATATAATTTAT